CCTTCTGTTGTCTTGTACCAGTCTTGCCCCTCCCCCGTTCTGCCCTAACATTGACTAGTCGCTGACGGCCACAATCCGCACGTTCAGACCCAGATTTTCGGCTGACAGTCCGGTCTTTAAACACTTTAACAATGAGCTCCTCTTGAACATTTAACGAATTCTGCTGTTTTGCTGATACTCGCTCCATGGCTCCGAGCGCCAACAATCATCCCACGTTCAAAGGCTGTTACATCGCGTTGTTTCCCCGTATCTTCAGAAACAAATCACTTCTACTGTCGTGGTAACCAACCTGCTTCCCTATTTATAATGGTCTGGCCCTCTAGCAACTTCAGCGCCAAATTATAGCTAATTTGCCTACAAACGTCAGGTGGTCATAATAAACTGGCCACTCAGTGTATATCAGTAATAAACAAATGCTGATGTGTACTCTCACCTCACTGGCGTTTGGAGAACCGGCATACCATGTGAAGAGCAAGGCCTCACTTTCAGAGGTGTTATTCAGAAACAGAACCCGGCTGGACTTACAGAAGACAGGGACATCTCCAAATGCCAACTTCTGCTGAGTCAGGCGAGGGACCTGTGGGAGATTCCAGTAAGAGTGAGGCTGATTAATGATAACATGGGAGGATTGGGAATGTATCTGAGTAGCCTACAGCAACCAATACAAAACACAGCTGAATATTGGACACCAGTTTCTTTAAAACAGCAGTAAACATAGATGCCGCCAATCAATAGTCGGCCTTTCCCTAAACAGGTCTAATAAAATGTTTATTCCAAATTGGCTGAAAATAAATTCTTTCATATGCGTTATTAGCAGTCATGTGACTGCCATTTGTCCATTTCTAACCAGGGTCATGACGCTTAGTATCTTCTGCTGTGAGACGAGATGACATTGAGGCCCCCTTTTTCCGCATCACTGGGCGTGATGTCACCATTCCTCCAGGAAGATTCCTGGCGGAAGCAGAGAAAGGGAAATCTAGTGAGAAGGCACCCCCAGTCTATTGCAAGTGTGTGCTCTTGCAAGATTTTGGCTGCACTGTATCCCCCAGGATCTAGCCAGAAGGAGTGTGATGTCATTCTTGCCTACGTGCCAGAAGCAGAGGATGGGGGTAAGGCAAGTGCACCTCCTTTTTTGCTTATAGGTCAATTTTACACCTATTATAAGCTTATGATTTGTGAAGGGGGAGGGGGCCTGGACAGTGTAAGCAGATTTAGCATTTTACTGCAAGGTCTACTTTAGGCCTCATGCACACACAACGCAAGAGCAAAATTGTATATTGCGTATATGCACGTATGTATGCACGTGTATATGCGTGCACTGTATGCAATCCCAGAATGCATCATTCTTAATAGAAATTTTAATGTACCGTACGCGTGTACGTGCGTATACGCGCGTGCACACACGTAAAATACGCAGAAATATGGAGCCCGGACACATCTCGGGTCCATTTTTGTTTGCGCATCTTTACGCAGCGCAAATATACGGCTCCATACACAGTTATGTGTATGGAGCCATTTATTTGCATATTCTGCATATGGGAAAAAAAGCTGCGTGCATCTATATGCAGCGTATTGTACGGCAGTGTGAATGAGGCCTTAAACTACAAAGTAATATGAGACGCAGGGCCGAATAGGATGGGGGGAATTGTTGGCTTATGTTTACCCCCATTGCTGTGGCCAACAAGAAAGTGGATTATACTGGCAGGAGCATTAGGCATTTTATTTGGAATAATCAAAAAAAGGCCAGCAAATAAATCTAATGTAATTGACTAATCCATTTTTAATTTTTATATTTTTGGTTTGCAGACATTGTTGAGAACACGATCTATCCTTCAAGGATATCAAGAGGCTGACAGAGGTCCCACCTCCTAAATATGAATGTTTAGATGTCCTCCAGATTAATGTTCACACCTTTATGTGGCCCAAAAGATTCGCTGTTCTCCCTCTGCAATAGTTTTCATAAAACGACTTCCTTGTCAAAGGAAGCTGTACTTGATGTGACATAAACGCAGCGATGTTGTGCAAGTACCGGTTACTGGTTTGGTGATTGGTAAAGAGCAATGTGAACAGTGCAGCAACCGACTACAACCAATAAAGAATTCATCTTTCTATCTGACAGATTGCTATAGGTTACAGCACTCTGTAAACCATTACTGCCATCTGCTTTGCCTTTTTTTTAGATATGTTTTTATGATAAGATTGTAAGCCCTCAGGGGCAGGGCCCTCCTTACCAGTGGCGTAACAATCACCATAGCGACCCAGGCGGCCGCTAAGTACACTTTGCTCATAGCCAATCCCTTCAAAGGTAATGAGAGCGGAGTCTCCTCCTAAGATATGCACGGGGGCAGTTACCTATATGTAAGAATAAAGTAGAGTGCTCTGTTAGAGGAGCTGAGCTGGAGTACAGTACCCAGTTATAGGAGCTGTTCTGGTCAATAAGGGACAGAGTTCAGTAGAAAACTGAGCGTGCTTACGGAATAGGTTTTGGCCTCCACTGGTGAGAAGATCCATTCCACATAGGCAGTTGCACCTGGTAATATCTCCCCTCTGGGATTCAAGCACTGGAAGATGGGGTGATGATAATTCTGCTCTTGCACTCCTCTCAGGGGCTCCAGCTGGATCTCATAGATAACTGCCACAGAGCCCCCATTATACAGTTCATAGATCTGAAAAATCAAATGTACATTTGCAAAATATATACCTATAGTAAATGTGCATATATAGTGACTGCATTCATTTATATAGCTACATAGTTCAAAAGGAACAGAACTGAAAGTTGTGCCCCCCCAAAAAGGCAGGCAGAAGGACTAGTCACCAGTATTGCCTGTGGTCTTCCTGCAGCTGATCTTTTCATCTTACTAAATTACCTAGGGCCTCCTGTGCCTGCATCCTCAGGGACCTGTCACACCATCAGGAGTGCGTTCCAGTGTGTTCGGCCTCTGGAATGCAACCCGGCTGGCTCAGTTTTTTGGGGGGCGGGAGGAGGCGTGGCCGTGTATTGAGCTCAATTGCATCGCAGCTAGGCCCCCCCCCACCCCCTCTAGGGCCCAGCGATCGCCGGCACCCGAACGCGTGGCAAATTAGCCAAATCAAAAAAATTGTGTTTGCAGATCGCAGTGGACCGAGGGGGCGTTCGGGTGCCGGCGATCGCACCGCAGACGGGGGGGCGTGGCTGCGGTGCCATTGAGTTCCTCCTCCCGCCCCCCAAAAAAACTCAGCCGGGTTGCGTTCTAGAGGCCAAACGCACTGGAACGCACTCCTGATGGTGTGACAGGGCCCTCATAGCTGTATATCTGCAGTGTGAGATCTAAGGTGCTGCTGCCGTTGACTTCTAGTCTCAGGAGATTTGGCAATGTCACTACTGTGTTGCTGCCTGTTCTCCTTGCTGGAGGCTCTGAAATGGGCAAGCAAATACTGCCTCTACCAATACGGCTGCTTTCCCACAGAGATGCATGATAAGTCAGCAACTGGAAAAAAGATCAACTACAGGGAGACCAGAGGCAATACTGGTGACTAGCACTTTGCCTGCCTTTTTTGGGGGCACCAAGCCACAAACCTTTATTGCACATTACCTGTATAGGTGGAACCTTTATTGCACATTACCTGTATTGGTGGACTGGAGCTGCCGATAGCCACTGGCGTGAACTGATGCTTCGTGGATGTGAAGTGCACATAACGCTGCTCCTTTTCTACCGTCACTCCAATGAAATTTAACTAAAATGGGAGAAACTGCCATATGTGAAATGACACTGTAATGATTCAAATAAGTGTTTCATTTGTTTCACTATAAAAAGGACCAAGCAAAGATAAACATTGTTAATCTACGCACCAGAATCTCCCTCCCATGTGATAGCTTCAGTAGGACAGGCAAGCGATCAGTTCCAACAAAGTCATGTCTATTAAATTTATAATAAAAAAATACTTTAGTTACAAATAGGTAGCAAGAAAAACACTTACTGGCGGCAAATCTAGGCTTATGTTTACCCCTTTTGTGAATAATGCATGAGATGTCTAGTCCAAATTTAGCAGCATCAATTAACTTAACCATATTGAGGCATTGTTCACACTTTCAAACAAGCAGCTGCCTGAGGTCCCGCGCTTGCTGGGGACCTCGGCAGCCTTCCTGTTAACCATGCGGTGCCATGGCGGTTGGGGGCTTCCTGGTTTCTTGCACCGGGGCCCTGAAGGTTCTAGTTACGCCTCTGCATATCATCCACTACAGCTGTCCAGATTCCATGTTAGTGCAACATCTATTTTATTGATAGTTGTCATTCAATCGACAAGCCCTTTTGGGGCCGCGCAGGGTCCGCTTCATCAGGCTCAGAAATGCGCTTGTCGTTTGAATGACAACTATAAATAAAATGGATTTGCATGTGCCGATACCGATCCTAGTATCATTGCCGATACCGAGTATTTGGGCGAGTACTCGTACTCGTCCAAATGCTCAAATACCTTACCCGATACCAGAACTTCTCCCTCTGACCGGCAGTGCCAAGGGACCATGCAGCCGGCCGTTACCTGCCGACGGCCATCTTGGTGATGGACGCCAGCAGAGAGAGGAGGGGACGTCACCTGACCAAGTGTCCTTGACCAAGTGCCCGGCTTTTCAAAGGGGGATGACACCAACATGACAATCATTTTGGTGTCACCTGGGTGCGGACCGCTCCACCCGCACACCCCTTGTGACGCCACTGGAGCTGGCTTTCTTTACAATTAGGAAGCCGGGCGGTGGGTTATGACCAGCTTCCTGGCGTCTTGAGTGGCTAGGAAGCCTGTTTCACTTGTTGCTAGGCAGCCTGGCTTCCTAACCAATCAAGAAAGCTGGGCGGCATGTAATGAACCACCTCTCAGCTTCCTGATTGGTCAGGAAGCCACGAAAAATGCCTATAAAAAATGTGACGCCAGTATTTATGTTATTCAGGAAGCCAGGAGACAGGTCATAACATGCCACCAGGCTTCCTGATTGGCTAGGAAGCCAGCTTCACTTGTTGGTAGGCAGCCTGGCTTCCTAATCAATCAGGAAGCCAGGTGGTACATCATGACTCGCATCCCGGCCTCCTGGTCAGAAAGCCACGCTGCCTAGAAAAATGTGACGCTGGCTTCCAAGTTAATCAGGAAGCCAGGCTGCCTAGAAAAAAATTTAAGCCAATTTCCTAGCCAATCAGGAAGCCGGAAGGCTGGCCATGACGTGCCGTCCAGCTTCCTGATTGGCTAGTAAGCTGGCTTCCTGACCAATCAGAAAGCCGGGGCGCGAGTCATGGCGTTCCACCCGCCTTCCTGATTGGTCCGGAAGCCAGGCTGCCTAGAAAAAAGTGGCTAAGAAGCTGGCTTCAATCAGGAAGCCAGGAGGCGGGTTCACATCATGACTCGCCGCCCGTCTTCTTGATTGGTCAGGAAGCCACGCAGCCTCTGAAGTCAGTGTTCTTTCACTGGAACGCTGGCTTCACAGGCAATCAGGAAGTCGGGCAACGGGTCATGATCCGCCGCCCGACTTCCTGATAATTGGTGCACAAGGCACTGGTATCGGCATTTGGTATCGGTACTTTATACCGAAAAAATGGTATCGGTGCATCCCTAAATTACACTAACATGGAATCTTGGTGCTGGTGACATCTGTATTGGTGTTTTTTTGTGAGCGGTGCCCTCCGCAGTCATTACGAGCACCCGTTACTTTTGGGATATACAGTAAGGAGTGCGGCAAGGTATATGGATACTGCTTTGTATAGTACATATCTGGGGTCCTGTGGCATACTGGCATCTTATGGGGGCATCGTTTACGTACAGACAGGGGCGGTTCTGCCGCAAGGCAAACAAGGTGTTGGCCTTGGGTGGCAGGCTTCAGGGGGGGCGGGCGGAGGAGGCAGAGCACGCAAGGAGGCAGAGAAAAGCGGCGAGGAGGCAGCGGTGGAGGAGGTGGAAGAGGCAGAGGAGACGGACCATCAGGAGGGGGCGAGGTGAAGCAGGAGAGGGGGCGGGGCGAGGCCGAGACGATGCCGGATCAGAAACGGGCGGGGCCAGGGTGCCATCGCGCCGTAGGAAGCCAGTGCATGCTTGACAGAACACCGGGCCATAGAAGAGCCGTCGACGTGCGAAGGAGGCCGGGTCCTGCAGCACCAGTCCATCGGTGGAGGAGGCCGGGGACCAAGCAGCAGGTAAGATGATCACACTGCTGCTAAAGGGTACAGTCTCAGGTGGGCTGTACAGGATCTGTGGTGGGGTCTATGTTGGGCAGAGCCCACCACACATCAGAAGGTGGCAACCCTAGTTGCAGGGGACATGGTTATCAGAAATGTCACTGCTGCTTCACAAGCCTGTAGCTGGTCAGTCAGCTCCTGTTCACACCTAGTCCCACACACTGCTTTCTGGATTGACAGCACTGCCTATTTTTGCTGAAATCTTCCCGCTACGTGCTGCAGTATCTGGGAGGGGGAGCGTGTGAGACACAAAGAAGCATTTGGTTCAGCTGAAGGAAGTTTAAAAAAAAATTATTTTATGAGCCTTGTGCATCACATTGTAACTGGACTTTGGACTTGTTGAAACTGCCACACAGGAGAATTTAGTTGTGCTTTAGGGGTTAGGATCCATTACCTGTAGGACAGCTGGATCGTCTGTTGCTGGCCGGGTCTTAGCACCCCTGATTTTGGGCTGACAATAAACAGCTTGTTGTCCTGTATTCTCATCTGGTGGATCTCGCTGGGGTCAAACTCCCAAGTCTCAGCCCAGAACTCCAGCTCAATCTGCTGGTCCACCGGGTATAAAAAGTCCCTTTTAGAAAAACAAAAAATGTTTACTACCTATAAGCATGAGCAAGGAAATGTATGTTAATGTTACGTTCCATGAAGGAGGCTACAATATTGTTTGCTGCTATGCTGTATCTACTCAAGCTAGGAATCACTAGGTGGTGTCAGTAGATTCCCACACCAAAGGAAAGTGCACTGGCTCTTTCACCTGGGTACATGCCCACAGACTCCTCGATCATGGCCACCTTCAGACGTATATTCCCAACTCCCTATCCTCCTCCTATAACTTTTGTGCCACTAATAACTAACGATGCACCAATACCGTTTTTTCTGTATCGATTATGAGTACCGATATTTTTTTTCCGGTACTCACCGATACCACATACAAGATACCAGGAATCCCATTAAGGAAGCCAGGCGGCATCTAATGACTCGCCACCCGGCTTCCCAATTAGCGTGCAACCTATTAACAAAGCCGTCTCTATACTTCCTTGTCATCAGGCAACAAGGAAGCATGGAGCCAGCTTTCTGGCCAATAAGGAAGCCAGGGGGTGGGTAATACCTCGCTGCCTGGCTTCCTGATTGGCCAGCTTCCCAACCAATCAGGAAGCCAGGCGGTGAGCCATTACATGGCACCCAGCTTCCTGAGTGGTCGGAAAGTTGTCTCCATGCTACCTCATCACCAGGTGACGAGAAAACATGGAGCCAGCTTTCTGGCCAATTAGAAAACCGGGGGGTGGGTACTGACTCGCCACCTGGCTTCCTGATTGGCCAGCTTCCCAACCAATCAGGAAGCCGGGTGGCGAGTCATTACACGCTGCTTTCTTGTTTCCTGGTGACGAGGGAGCATGGAGCCGGCTTCCTGGCCACTCAGGAAGCTGGACATCGCGTAATGACAATTGTCTAAAGTGTCTTTGTATGTTGTAGTGTTAACCGAACCCTTCACTGGAAACACCTGAATTCAATCATTCGGAGGGGTGGCTACTTTTAGCAATATAGTGTGCAACCTATTAACAAATCCGTCTTAGTTTCTGAAGCTGGCAAGGCTTTTAATATGCAAATCATCTGATCTTCTAGTGGGGACACCAAGAACTATTTGTGGTTTGTACCAACCCTGATTTAAAGTGTATGTGATCCCAAACAATGCTTCCAGTTGTAATTTGAATAACCTACCATTAAAAGAAAGTATGTTGTTATATCTATTCTGCTAAGTGCAAAACAATACCTGTGAATGCTGCTACAAATCATGTGCTGTCCTTTGCACTCTTCTTGTTACAGTCAACTCAATAGGTTTTCATTCTAAACTTGCAATAAGATGGACAAGCGTCCGGTGAACTCACCAATTCACAGGTAATACGCCATTATTCTCCAGCAAAAGAAGGGCCACAAATGGCTCCGACCCCACAGGGGCAGCTCCAAAGTTGAAGTCCAGCAAGACTGGGGTGTTTACAGGGGGACATCTGCGGGTGCTGGGTAAAAGGAAGACTAACCATGACACAAATCCCAGAATGCATCATGCTTATTATCACACACTTATCAATTACTACTCTATGACTTTCAGCCATACCTGTGTCGAGTGGGAACCCTGTATTTTAGCTCTTGAGGAGTAGGATCACTTTGAAGACAGGAATTAAGTCTCTCCAGTGAAAAAAGCCTCCAAAGTTGAGTCTTGGTAAGTGCACTGGCACTGCCCGTTGGACATGCGTCCACCACCGTGAACATGGGGTAGACTCCCTGTGCTGTCACACTGCACAGAAACTGTTCCTCTGTGACTTGGTTTGCAGGATCCAGAGCTATAAGGAGAAGAAATAGGGATTATATTTGCCTGCTCTCTGAGGCTCTTCACACATTCATGTTTGGGCAGCCACCTTGCTATCTTCATCAAAGAAATATCTCCCATATCTACAACTAATATACCAGTTACTACATTTGCATTTTCTTTGATTGCTTTGGCTGCTTTGTAATATCCCCCTCAGCCGTCATTCATAAAATGAACTAACCCCACTCTGGCCTATTGTGTATGTTGCAGCTTAGCTCACACCTCTTCTCCTTGAGTTCTGCTCATCTATGTCAAGTCTTGGATCCCCATTCACCACAGGATATAATTCGGCACCTCCTATATTTCCTATTAAAGTGAACTTGTGCTTGAAAGTTTTGAAGTAAAAGTGCAGCCTAAAAGCATATCACCACTCTGCTGTAAACTACTAGGGGGAAGAACATGACCAAAATGCATTTCTCCATAGGGATAAAACAGTGCTGCCCTGTTGCATAAACAAGAAAAATAAAGAGCATGTTGGGGGGGAATAAAAAAAAAAAGGATGGAAGACAGCACTTTACAAACAGTAAAAAAAGTAAAGTGGTGACACCCCGGGCACAATGCTCCACATCTGGTGGGCTTGCCCGATAGCGCAACGTTTTTGCCTTTATACGTTCCCTCAACCGTAACACTCCCCCTTTTCAACCGGCTGTAGCTCTCCTAAATTTGAGACCTGATAATTTCGATAAAACACAATCTACCCTGATGACTCATATTCTCACTGCAGCTAAACAAACGATCGCAAAGGCCTGGCTGTCCCCTCTATTGCAGCTATCCGAGATCAAAGCATGTTTACACCCAGTGTTTGTGTATGAAAAATTCCCTGCTAAACTCCATGACACGATGCACAAATTTGAAAGAATCTGGGATCCGTGGATAAAATTCAAAATATTAACAGTCACTTATAAAGCCAACCACAACTCTGCCCCCGGATATATCTCAGACCTTGTCTCGAAATATCACCCTAACCGCCCCCCCCCGCTCTTCCCAAGACCTCCTGCTTTCCAGCTCCCTTGTCAACTCCTCTCATACTCATAGTTACATAGTTACATAGTATTTGAGGTTGAATAAAGACATTAGTCCATCAAGTCCAACCTATTAGGATCTCATTCTAGGAGTACCTGTACCCCTGTATATTATGTGTACCCCTGTATATTACGGTCCCTTA